GTCATGAAAATTTATATTAACTACAATACGCGCCGTACTCATTTTCGCGCAGAATGTACGGTTATCACGATGTGCTGTTTACCCGTTAATTTATATATATACATATATGTATATGTATATTGGCTGATAATCGGACAATCGATAATTTATATAATTATGCAAATTGCACGAATTGCACGTTTTACGCGTGATATTATTGTAACGCTCAAATTTCGCAGTTAATAAAACGATGCGATCGATCATAAAGTGATCGCGTTCCGGATCACAGCTCGACGCGCAGTCCGTTTGTTAAGGCGGATCACCGTTGAAAGCCGCTTTTGACGGTAACGCGTGTCCTCCGGAAACTCGTTGAAAGTGAGAACAAAAAAAGTCGCGGAATGAACAAGAGAGAAAGAGAAAAAGAGAGAGAGAAAGAGACAGAAATACCAGAGAAGTACCGTATTCTCTGCCGCGTTCTTCAGAATTGTTGTTCGGAGAGATATTCGCTCCGGCGAGCGGCGGAAGAAACGTAAGAAGTACCCCGAAGAAGAGTCCCGAAGATATGGCATCCGAGGAACGAGTCACTCGAGATCGATTTCTTCGATTCTTCAGCGGGAAGGGGAGAGAGGGGGGAGGGAAAAAAAATTTAGGAAGATTGCCATGAAACTTAAAGGAGATTTATTGCAGTTATATTTCGTATGCGGCCTAGATCTTGTTACCGTCTTTGTCCGAACGTTGCAACTTTGCGATTTTCTATCCCTTATATATAGCGGATTAATAATTACGTACGCGCTTAATTCCTAAGTATTTGCTCGGGACGTCGACGACGTATTCCGTTTTGAAATATTCATTGTTATTTAGACGGTATTACCGCAGAAGTTGTTACGCGGCACATCGAATATTGATGCGGGAGCGTTAAAGTGAACGAGACTCCGCGTTTATACACATGCACAGACGGGGCCCGTTGTTGGACCAAGAACGGTGATAATTTTAACATGTGCAAAAGTAATTCGAAGACATACGGTGTGTTGTGCCGCGCAAAAGGACTCCCAGTCTGGCGTATGATATTTGACATTTAATGCTAATTGAGACGTAGAGTGCAGTGCTGTACCAATATTAACTTTACAGAAGAGCGCGCGTCAGTGTCATACTAAAACTAGATATGCGGACGTTTTATTGTACTCGCGTCGAATTTCCACACGTGCACGCGGGAAAATCATGCATAGAACCGCGCTTTCTTCTTCGTATTGTGAGAGGAAGTTTCTCCAGGTTCAAGATAACCGTCTCGAGTCTCGCGGCGAGTTACGGGTTCGTTCCCAAAGGTGAAATTGGAAAAAGTTTTTCCGTTTGCGTGTGGATGCTTCTGCGGGCGGTATCAATCTCTCGCGGACTTTCGGTATTTTCAAGACTCTTTGGAATCTCCGTACTGATGCACATAATGTCCGTATAGTATTTCAGTAACGGGATTTTAGATCGCGCGGGCTGCAGAGAGAACCGGTGGTGGTCGTGTGCTTTTAATATCCTTCGAGTCGCTTTCCTGGTCGCTTATCCGTTATCGCGCTTTTTTCGTTGAAAAAAAAGAAAAAAAAAGAGTACGCTTGTTTATTCTACTCGGGATTCTTCTCCGCGGGTACGAAATTCGAGCATCCGGGGAATACGCGCGGGATTTCGCGCGCGCACACGCTGGCGGCACGAAAGTGTAATTGGAGTTTCATGACAGCGGGGCTAATTTCCCTGGATGGAAAGCCGGACCGAAAACTCTCGGTAACGAGACTTATTATTTATTCTTCCTACCGTGTCGCGTGCTACCTTCATGTTTCCCTCTCTCCTCTCACAAATCGTGGCTTTTTACAGTTGGAATATATGGCATCCAAGATATCTGTTACTAACAATAAGTGCACTTCTTTTGCAAATAAAAAATTTTGCAGCACTAAGATGTATCTCTTTTTTTTTTTTAGTGCATATTTTTAGTCTATCAAGAATATATCGTTGGAAAAAAAAAATTAAGGAAATGCCAATACGTCACGCTCATTTCAGGTCACGCTTTTCGTGCCCCGAAACGTGCGCCGTTTATCTCTGAATTTAAATATACGTATTACGTGAAGCAGATATTTAAAGAGCGACATGGTGGTGGGATTGAGCTTGAGCCATCTCATCAGACGTTGATTAACGGCGACGGATGAAATCCTTTGTCCATTTCTGTTTCGGTCGGAAAATATTGCCGGCCGTGTCCTTTGTTCCGTAGATGGCCTGTACGAGTGGCCTAATTACCGTACGGCGTTTAAACTAAAAAAAAAAAAAAAAGAAATACATGGGCAGAAAAGAGGAAAAACCATGGAAAGTAGCCAGCCCGTCTCTCTGACAACTCTTTTAGATTGCGAATATCTCACGAGGTGCCTCATTTAATTATGATCCCCTACAATAGAGGTGATGCCTCCCCGCTGTTCTCGTCTTAATTATAAAAGAGATGTTGTATTATGTTCTCTTGTGTGTTATTTCATCGCTATTGCTCTTCGAACTTTGACCTTTCCTTGGTATAAATTTATAAGGCATTATATCTACACCCTTTCGTTTCCAGAGACCCAAATTCGGCTTTATTTCGGTACCCTTTTATAAATTTTCTACATTATCAATATCTCTCTTAAATTCGATAAATATACTGTCCGCATAGAATTGACAAATGACTTGAAACGGGTAGTATCTAACTGTCGAATTGAATTATCAGCGTTTTGTAAAGATGGATTACGCACTTAATTATAAAAATGACGTGATACGTACATAAAGATGTCTCTTTCACAAAATAAAGCAGCAAATCGTTTGGCACGCGAAAAACGCGAAAAACAAGACGTGCATTTTCACGGCAGCAACTTGCGGTTGCTTATGCTGAATCTTTACGGAGCTGAAAAGATAGAGAAGAAGTATGAGCTACAACGGGAGGACCCATTTCGTCTGATGCTGATTCATAGCGGTTAGGCGTGCTCTGCATTATTCAAAGAGCGCACCTGACCGTATAACGTCGCGCGACTTTAAATATGGCTGCATCACTTTTGACTGTCAAAGCGGATAATGTGGCACGTCGTACACTTTTCTCTCCCAGCTGCATCGATTGTTCGCGAAATCGAATAAAAGAGATGCACCCCGAGGGGGAAGGGGGAGATTTACGCGAGAAAAGACGAGGCGGATTTGTAGCCGGTGTATTTTATTATTTACACACCTCATTTGTTTTCCACGTTTTCTGCATTTTGTCGCGATTGCGAAAATATTATTCTCTACGAGACCAAATCTGAAATTTTTCTTCATACCATTTGATAATGAAATAAATAAAATAAACGAAATCTTGCAATATAAAAGAAGAGCATTGAAGTATATTTAATCGATTTAATTAAGTTTATCAGTTTGCATTCGCCAAAGAAAACTGAATTTTTTTTAATATTTCGGAGATCACCAGATATGTAAAATAGCAAGAAAAAACGAAATGTATTGTAACGCAACAATAAACTGTTAAAGATAATAATGTTATGTACTGGCAGTCATATATATATATATATATTTTTTTTTTCATGAAAACATCAACGAATTAGTATACAATTAATTAGAAAATGTAAAGGTCGTCTGGGCTAATGAGAGGGAGTCGCGTATTACCTATAAAAAGTAATGCGGCAGGGTAAAAATAGCACAAGAACAACAGGATGCTTTTATTTAAATTTGGATAGTTCATTCTCGCGAATGCGGAAACGGGCTACACACATATACTCTGCGCGCAATATATACGGATGCAACCCTCTATTTCGACCGACTATTTCCGGTCTTTGTGCGATGCTGCCCGTACAGAATGCGACATATTTTTTTTTCCTTGTTTCCCCCGATTTCGTTGGGACATTCGGCGTGTGGATATGTGTGCGAGCGTGTGTATGCGTCTGTACGTGTGGGTGTTATCGCTCGCTTCACTACGGCAGCAATTCTGTGATTTTCTCGGATTTTTCTCCACGCATGTTTGTCAACGTTCTATTATTTCGCAAACGGTTGGCGCGCAAAATGAGTTTTATACTTGGAAACTACTGCAAAGACACACACTTTTTATTCTGTATTTCGTACAGATATAGGAAACGCACGTCGCTCGGACATTGTTGATTCTTTAAACCGTCGCCATAACAAGTATTGTACTGTGCGTGTGAAAAAAGACATTTCCGTTTGAAATATTTGGTTTCTGAAAAAAAAATTCTCACCAGACGCGGTTGATAAAGGAACGGCTATTGCATTTGGTAAAAGTGCAACAGGCAAATATCTCTGAAAACTATTTGAAATATTGTAGGCAATATAGGTACTGGAAAAAAATGTTTAATAAAAAAATCTAGATTTTATATGACAATCTGAAGGTATGTAAAAATATGTGTATGTAAGTGTGCGTGCATGCGTATGAATTATGTTTCTAGCGGCTAATCTCTTAGAATAATTTATACGTGAACGATCAGCTGTGTTATATATGCATTTGCATCAATTCATTTATATATGTAATTAAAATCGTCGCGTTATCAAGTTTAAAGTAGCAATTAGAATCTGCAATCGAAATCTTTTAATAAATTATAAAATTTTAAATATCAATTGCATAGTTATCCGAATTTTATGATTGGGTATTTGCATCGATTGAATCCGTATAGTGACGGCTAAAAAAAAACATAAATTTAGAATATGTCGATTCGCGACATTTCGAATAAGCACGTAAATAGACGTTCGCGATCGTCTCGCTGCAATTGTCATACGCGTTCTACCGATCGCGATAATTTCACCCGCCGTCGCTCATGCCTAAACGAGTGATCTGATTCTTTCAAGAGCTTTATGATGAATGGCGGATTCGTAAGATTGCACGTAGAGATTGCGGATGCTGGGCACGACAAGGCTAGCTCGTCCATTCTCCTCGAGGACGACGCGGCTTCTTCCATTCCGCTCTTCCGCACCGCTTCTTTTTTCCTCCTCAGGCCCCGGTGCGACGTAGTAGAAACCATCTGTCTCATTTGTTTCAGGTTCTGCCACCCTGGAAGGCCGCCAAGTCCGGGACTATATCCTTCAAAATTCGTACCAACGAGCCCAATGGATTGATCATGTACAGCCGCAGCGGAGCGCACACGAGGGTACGTCGTCTCTTATTCAAGCTACCTTTTAATTGCGACAATTGTCGAGAAAATGAAATGGACGGATAGGTGAAATGCTAAAATTCTCTCTTAATATATTTATTTAAATGAAAAACGAGTAATCTGTTTGTACACGAAAAAAAGTGGAATAATAGAGAAGGGTCTTGGACAATAAAACCAAATGCGGCTGTCAAAGTGCGATTACGTGTCCAACAATTATTGGCTACTAAAAACGTTTTTCGAAATAACAACCCGCTTTTGTCCCAAAACTCATTTCAGTCGCGGTTGCACACTCGACTGACAGTAATTTAATTATCGATGCACAATTCTCCACCCTCCTGTGACACTCCGACGATCGATGAGTTCTGGCGGTCAGCGACCTTCGCGTCTGAATTTTACGATTATTGGCGTATTTTGAGATATTTCTAAAATAGCAAATATATATATTTTTTTAAATATAAAATTACATTAGATATCAAATTTTTGGATGACACAAATTTTGTAATTAGTCTCTTCTTTGATTAAGTTAATAAATATAGCCAGATGCGAAAGAATTAAGCATGATTGCAATGATAGATAACTTAATAATTTTTTATTATAAAAAAACGAATTGATGAATATGTTAATTAATTTCTAGAATTAGATACAATTTAGACATTTTATATAATTATTATATAGCTTATATTTTATATATTTTCTTTATTAGAGTCGTAGATTTAAAAAGATGCGAATCGGTATAAAGTTATTTGGCAAACGTTATTTACCAAAGTTGACAAGTCTTTTTCGATGGTTGGTAAACTTGGGCTATAATACATCTTCATTTAACCGTAATCCTATTAACAACAACGATACGCCCGACATAATATATCTTCATCCATCTATCCAGAATAACAGAAACTCAATAAATTACGACAATGAACTTCTCTTTATTTTAAACGTAGATGAAAAATACAAATCTCTTTATATTTGGTTATAATTCGGCTAAATATTCAAAAAAACTTCCTGTTCTATTTTCTCTTTAGACGAAGTATTATTAAACTTTGTTTGAAGTATTATTAAAATTTGGTTTAAAATATTATTAAAATTCAAATTGGTAATATCAATTAAATAAAATTTTACTAGAAAATCTAACGAACGATAAAAGTAAATACGTTGACTGTATTTGGACTGTGGAAAACTCGCGTGTGCACGTGGGAACGGGGTTTATTTTACGTTGAAGTGGCAATATCGTAATATAAATTGTGGTTTGTTTCTATTTATTACAGCAAGATCTGTTTGCCTTCGAGATTCTTGGCGGACATCTTTATTTACACGCTGACCTCGGGAGCGGCTCCGTTAAAGTAAGGTCGTCAAAGACACGCGTGGATGATGGCTCTTGGCACGATGTTGTCCTAAGGAGAGTCGAGAGAGACGGTCGAGTTACTGTCGACAGCAATACAGTCGAGTTTCGTACGCCAGGTAATGAAGAATGTAGATCTTTCTGCCCAACATCTCATCTTCTCGGGACACGCGATACAAAAAAAAAAAAGATAATTAAAAGAAAATAGAAAACGCATATCACCGCGTTGGCAGAAAAGACACAATTAAAAAATTAAAAGTTTTGAGATAATGAAAGAAAATGGACCCTGAAGGGTTTTTTAGGGTCTAATTTTTTACTTTTTTTATTTTTTATTTTTTTATCAACACGACGGTATGTGTAATTATAATATAAAGAAGATAATATGAACAGGAAGAAATATCAATCGCTATTTCGTGACGTCATTTTATATTCTGCAGAAGATATTATTAATAATCATTTATATCCAATTATTTCGTGATGTCATTTATATTCTGAAAGAAGAACGCTCTTAAAACACGAGCTTACACCATCGATGAATTGCCGATGCCTATCGCCGCGTATTTATGCGTGCAGTAGCAGTTTTTCAAAAAAAAAAAAAAGGGAGCTATCTCACCGTATACATAAAGTGTCTAACCCGGCCTGGCAGATAAGTGTCCTCGAGCGTGTAACTCTGAATTATGAGTGGCTCGGCCCGCTCAGCTCACCGTTTATGTCGGTGGACCGCGGTGTCCAGAATTTACTCACCGCACCACGGCTAAGTGATAAAGCACTACGTATGTACGGCCGCAAACACGTGAACGATACCGCAAAAACGATAAAAAGAATTTCATTGAGACAGCGAGGATCCATACATCCTCCCGCAGATAACGGTGACTTAGCTCGCTGGAGATGTTACTGCAGTGCTTATTGCCGCGGACTTTTTTTTCAAGAAAAGATTTAACAAACTTGAAGACTAGTGTGTGATGCCAATAGCAAGATAGAGAAATCGCGTTGGAGATAGTAACATTAAATTAGGAAAGAGTAAAAATAAATAAGAAAATTTTAGCATACATTTCAATTCATTCGTTATCTGTACAAAATAAAATATTTAAATTTTAAATTGGTTCATTAAAAAGAAATTCTTATTTTTAATCATTAATTACACAAATAATAAGTGCCACGACATATTTAGAAAAAAAAATTATTTCGATTTAGTCGTAGAATCTATAGCAAGAAGAATATTCGATGAATCCGTAACAGCTCGCACGCACATCCGCGTATATTTCAAACGCAACGAACATGTTAAGCGTATTCCCCGTAATTGAAATGCCATCATATTTAGAAAAGAGCGTGCATTATACGGCGATGATACTTCACTTTTTCAATTACACGTTTTAATAGAACATCTATCTGGGCTGAATTGAACGATCATATATTTTCTGTTATCCTCGTTATATACGTGTAACGGTATATGTACACGGATACTTTAACGTTTTTATAATTTACCGGTAACGTCAATTTTTGCCTGATCCGACCGAGTCAAATATTAATTAACAGACAAATTATTAACTATGTAGAACGATGGTAGGTTTTTTTCTCTGAAATTCGCCGAGCGAAGGACTAAGTTATCCGTTTGTTTCCGCTCTTCGTTAATTCTGCCGCTCATCAGCAACTTCCCTCTGCGCTCTCTATCCCTCTACATTTTTCTCTCAATTTTTCTTTTTCAAGCAGGCTAATGCAGACAATTTACCATTGCCACACACTATTACGTGTTAAAAGTCAAATTCAATATAATACCTTTTTTATTTAAAATAATCTTGCGAATCTGGTAATCACACTTCGTGCTATTTTCAGCAATAGATTTTAATACGCTATAAAAGAATATTATGAAATCAGTTTACGTTAATCAAACACGCACATTCGATAACCTACTTTATTAATTGGTTTACATATACCACGTTTTATTCATTACATTGGCAGATTGCATTGAATTTTGTTGTTCGAGGAAAATTGTCCCTGAAACGCAATAAACTTCTCTCCTTTCGTCTCTCTTTTCATCCTCTCTATTTATATATCTATTTGCCTATTTCTCTTTTCGCTCTCTTTCTGTTCTCTCGCACCAAACGTTCGCGAGATAAATTTATAACTTTAGTCAGACTGTCACCGTTTTCATCTTACCACGACCGGAGCCTGTCGCGGTTAGCCGAATTACACGGACGGTTAATTCGCCGACAAAACTCTCCTTTGAATCATACCAACGTAGCTTGGAGCAATTCCATCCTTGCGCCCCTGTAAAACCGCGAGCAAATAACGCGGATTACTGCCGGGCGCAGAAAAAGATCTTTGGCTTTCGCGTTCTCTTCGAGAAATAATTTGTTTAACCGCGATATAAAGGAAAACAAAATCTCGACTTGCGAACAAGGGCAATAAATATAAGAAAGGGTATGCTGGAATGTAAATGCGTCGGAACTAGTAAATTTTGAATTTACTGCTTTCTATTTCTAAAGTACATACATAGAAGTTTCAATATAGCACGAAATACCATATGTCGAAAGTATAGGTTTTACACTGATGATATCAGAAACTCCAATTTTGTCGATGTACCATAAAAGTTTGGAATCGATATTAATTTAACATCGATATTGATGTCACGGCGTATACATTTTTGCAATTTATTAAACGCCAGTCTTAATTGATCTATCGTGCACGCTAAATATGATCGACACGCTACATAGCTTGTTCCTTTATTCATTATTTGTCCTGTTATTGAAAATAATTGAAATTTTTTGTAAGTGTAACGCCTTTCATGATTTTTGTCGACTTTTTTTTTTAATTTCTCTTAACTGTGGTTTAAGTCTATATCAAAATTACTTCATGCAAGTGGTACACGATTCACGTACTATTTTAAATATTTAAATAAATATACACTTATATATTTGTTATAAACTTTCGCTTTATAATACAGTTTTTGACGAAGAAACACATATTAATAATGCAATTAATTGCTGGCAGGAGACTCTACGCAATTAGACTTGGATGGCTTGTTATATATCGGTGGTGTGGGTGCGCCTTTTGCGCCCTTAACCGTTCCGCCCGTTTTGTGGACGGGCGCCCTTCGACAAGGCTACGTGGGCTGCATGAGAGATCTCGTCATTAATGGACATCCAGTGGACATCGCGGGATATGCGCAGCAGCAGGATTCGGGTAAGTGAATTAAATTTTGATACATTTATTCCTAAGATGAAAACCATCCAAAAAATCTCCGTTTCGTAAACGACATGCGTAATCGATTATAAAGAGTAATACGAAATAATACGTAATAATTATAAAATTGTATTTCTTTGTTATATTCATCATTTATCGGTATTTAGTCGCAGTTACAAATGTAATGTCTTTAAATTAACATAACACGTTTATTCGAGCACACATATAAAATAGCTCAGAAATAACGTAATTAAAAGTAACAATCAAAAATCATAGTTACTGTTGAAACCAAATATTATTCTGTCCTACACGAGTTAACCATGTTTGTTAACTATTTGTTACTAAAAACATCCTGCGGCGTGCGGTATTACTATTATTTATACAGGACGAGTAGAGATACGATTTTTTTATTATCGGGGTAAAAAAGTTGGTTGCAGCACATTCAACGCCTGGCAGGCGCGATATCTAATTATTATATTTTTTTCTCTGTCTCATGGATTAAATATACCATCAGTATTTTCAGTTATTATAAAAATTTTGAAATGCATTTTTGACAAAACGCATAAAAATTTTTCCTATTTTTATGTAAAAATTGTTTAAAGGAAAATTTTTTAATAAATCACACCATTTTCCATTATTGTTGTTTAAACTACATTTTCTTGGTTTTTTTGATAGAGAAAATTATGAGTACGCGACAGCGATTATTAAAAATTTATTTTTAATTGGAAAGAATTTCTTTAGGATTGTTTGATTAATTGTAGAATAGAATAGAACGAAGGGCATATAATGATAATTATAATTGATGTAATGAGTAATGAGATACAATTATTTTTACTTTTTTCTATTGATAATTACTACAATTAATTATCACTATAGATTACATATCGCTAATATTCTTATTTACGTTGAGTTCATCAATTCTTTAATATTTCTCGATGTTTGTACATATATTTTACAGGTGCAGTAAGACCCGCATGTCACGTACAAACCCCGCATTGCACTTCAAACCCGTGTATGCACCGTAGCGTTTGTCTGGAAGGATGGAATCGATTTCACTGTGACTGCACTAACACGTCTTTCACAGGACCTACCTGTGGCAAAGGTAAAAACATACAATTGTCACTTAATTACGTAAAGAAAAATGACTTTCAAAACAGCTTGATGTTTCAAAAGGGACGAGCCTTCGATACGTTTTTTCTTAAAAATCAATTAAGCTAAATAATAACGCGCCAAGTTCGAGACATCTTGTGTACTTCAAAGCTGAATGAGTTTCACGAGCTTGTAATTTATGACCTTTTTAATAAGTATAACAAGACTAACAAGCTACTGCGCTTTATTGCAGATGCGTCGACGCTGCATCTGAATGGCACGCAACAAATGACAGCGTTAATGCCGGAGGACTCTAGAACGCAGGCGGAGGAAATCATCGTGCGATTCAAAACGACGAGACCGCGCGGCCTTCTGTTAGCGACTAGCTTCGAGAACAACGCCGATCGTCTGCAGATTTATCTAGACGAGGGCAAGGCGCAAGCGCTGATTCACATCGGAGATCGAGAGAAGGTAAAAGCTCAATAACAAGATATTTAGACCGCTGAACTGTAGTCTAGAACAAGATAAGAAAACTAGTTCTGAATCGTCACAAACATTTACATTTTCTTGGAAGTGACACAATAGACTGTAGGATATCATTAAATGCGTAAACTTTGAAAGCGATTTTGTTTGAGATAAATTACCGTTTCATGTCTCTTTCGGCAAATGTTTCGTCCCACCGATTTATAATATCAATTTAACGTGATTTTAATCCGATTTTTTGTTTTTTTAACATTACGTAATTTTTATCTTTGCCGTCACTCGACGGCACTCGACGGAAATGTGTCGTGCTCATAATTTTCGATACTTTTGGCGATAGTTCCAATCAATTTCTACGCGAATGAACCATTTTCAAAAGTTGTTCCGCTTTATAAATATTTTTTAAGCAATTGTTTTATTATAAATGTTAGTTAAACAAATCTTATTGTAAATAAGGACACGTTGTCGAAAAGACAAGATATTGGATTTATCTCGGACAAATAATTCGATCCACTTAATGTCAACGAGCATCCGCTCAGAAGTTAAAGGGCCTCGCGTGGTCCATGAGGATTTACATTCCCGAAGCATCCGCGATGTTAAACGTCGTCTCTCGATATAGTTGACGTAGATCGTTCTCCCGTTGCGAACGACGTCATGACGTTAACTTAATACGTCACCCGCAGCAACATCCGCCAAGTAAACGGCTGGCGGCTCTCATCTCCGTGTAACGGAATATTCTTTTTGACGGAAACGTTGGACGCGCGCAAGCGTAAAGCGCATTCCCGGCAATTGCTCCCGAAGTAAAAGATAAACGCGCAATGGTTTTCACGCTTTGTCACATTAATTCTCCTTCGGCGATGTGACAGAAAAGATTTCATAATTAAACACAATAACGCAATCTTAAAATTCTAGAACTTTTACATTTTTTTTTTTTAGAATAATGCTATTCTAGGATAGGAAAGATCGAGAGAAAGACGCAACAATTTAGTAAAATGAAATTACGTGAAACAAAGTGTTCTACTTAATTTTAATAATTGTTATGTTGGATACACAGTAACTTCAGGTATCTTACATTGTCATAAAATGTCTTACCTTAGGTAATTGAAGTAAATGTTGACAAAATTTATTAAGAATTAGCAAGAGCGTTATCTCAAGGTCGCGAGGAGCGCTTCCGCGCTGCTCCATCGATCGTTTTCCCGGGAGCCAAATGCATTTCTGAATGCATCCTGCAACCTCTCGTTCACGCAATCTCCAACACTCCATCCCTTCTCCCTTGTGCCCGTCCGCATGTATATACGTGTAAATACATAAGCAATTCTGCAATCGCGACGCTTCCGGTCGAACGAACAGCAAATCGGCCGATTCGATTTCACAGCTATTTCATTAGATGATGCGTAAATTTATTTTCCTCTTTCTCTTTCCTTCCCTTATATTGGCGTTTACAAATACATTCGACTCTCATGAAATATTATATGTTGTACTCGCCACATTGATTTATTTGATTGATATTTAAAAATAATATTATAAGATATGGAAAAAAGAATTGGACGTACATAATTATAGTGCAATTATACATCTGATTAATGTAACATTAATATAACCAATTGATCCCATATTTATAATTGTATTTATGTAATTTGATAAAATTATATGCAGAATATCCGAATTCTGTCCCGAATTATGAACCGTCTAGAGGAGATTTGGGAAGCGGTGATCCAACGTGTGGCATTATTTCGGATATTAAATAGATATTGCGTTAATCTCGGATTAACAATCTCGGGTCGAAGTCTCATTTGGAACTCTCGTATTGCCTGCGAATGAGGAGCCGGCGGCGTCGTGCAGATCTACAAGTTATACACGCGTATAAGCGCGGGCGTACAAGGCGCGCGGTAATTTACGGTAATGTTTCAATCTCTGTACCTACACGGACTCGTTAATTGGACGGAATAATTGATACGATAATGCGGCGCCCGACGATTAGTCTACGGAAAACCAGATTTCCGCGGAAGTTCCCGGGAAGTTCGAGAACGTTTCAACGAAGATTTCTATCGCGGCGGCTCCTCTCGAATCGCGAGCTTTTCCCGACCGCGAGATTATCCGCGATTTTCGACGATTTATTAATCTTTTTCATTGGCGGCAGCAAAAAATTGTATGAATTGTAATGATAAAGTAGGTACTTTATTAATCGAGGCATTATTGTTACTTTTATTACAAAGAAAGAAATTATTACATTTATCCAACTACTCTATTTCTCCATTCTATTATTTCGATTTTAATTACTTTATTCGACTTTACCCATTTCATCTGCGTTGAAAAAGGATTAAAAAATTTACAAGCGCATTGTTCGCGTCCCAGTTATTAAAGTTATTTAGTGGCACAGTTGTTTTTAATATAATATTACACAAATTTGGAAATTATTTATGAAATCCACTTCAATGATATCTTTTCTTAGTAATAATTATATTTTCGATCGTGTAATTTTGAATACCTACACAACGTATGTTATACATACATATATGCATATTAAATGTTCTACGTTACGTTAAAGTTAATTTTTCCACTTTACTTTCATTTGAATTAAATTGAAAATGTTTTAAAGATAGCACACAAAAGAAATAGTTCAATAAAAAAAATACTATCCATTTTATCAGGTCAATTTATCACGTATTGCACATTTCGTTTTTACTCACAAATATCCCAATGAAAGTTAAAATAGATTTCTCCTGAATGGAGAGAAATTTCAACTATTTTCAAACTTCTAGCATCAAATATCGAGCGATTATTTTTAGCGATTGACACGAATTATGACGATAAATTAGTATGGCGATGATAATAATAATGTTCGACGGCAATAGCAGCGATGCATAGATGACGTTAGATGACAAACGTGCGTCAGGTGTCACACAGCGCGCGATATCGTATATTGCGATGGGGGGACTGTGCCAGATAGTGACGAGTTGCTTGGATTTATGGGACTTGGCCGAATGACAGGCATCTCATAGAGGTGGTTTATCGATAGCGTTAAACCTATTGCGACACGGTGCCGCTGCAAAAATGCGATAAAAATTCGAGAGACCTCGCGGCGCATATGTATCAACCGATTTTGCTTCAATAAATTTTCAGAAGTAAAAGCAAAAGAGAAAGAAGGATTCTCTTATGATAAAAATATTATAAGTAATTATTGAATTTTTTTCACAAAGAAATTTTTTTTACCTACAGGTACTTTGAATATTTTCTTTCAAAATCAGTATAGTAAAGTATTTATGTTTAGGAAAAAGAGAGAGAGAGAGAGAGAGAGACAAAGTCTTTTATTAAATAAAAGATGCGATAAACTTAATACATGTCGTTTTATTTCAGTCATTGACAACTGGGCAAGGTCTTAACGATGACTTGTGGCATACGCTGAGATTCTCCAGACGATTCAATTCACTGAAATTCCAGATCGACGAAGATACGGCGATACGAGGTACGTACATGCATCTGAAATGGTAACGCCATGCAACGGCGGAAATATATATTCCGGAGAAATATATACGTTATTAAAGCCAACAAATTACATCGTTGTATATGGTTGTATACACAATACGTATTTTCGTGACGAGATTTCCAAACTCATAAACCGGTTTATTGATGCGGAACGTGCGTTTTGTATAGAGTGTTAAAATCATGGTAATATCGAGAAATGAATGATTTTGTGCAAGATAAATTGAAAATGTAAAATAAATTTCTTTCACATCGAACTTTATTTACGTGCAACTGGGAAATTAATGACGTCTCCGTGCTATTTAAATTAATTTTAGTCTTGAATAAAGGCGGATATTTTAAAACTAAAAAAAAAGCAACTTTTGCTAAAAACCATTTAACATATTTTTCACGCGACAGCAGCATACGTACACGGAAAGAACGATTTTGCTGGAAGGTCTAAAAATTTTGCTAAACACAGATCTGAAAATAATTATTGTTGAATCATCAAAATAATTTTATTAGAAAGTAAAAAATGATAAGCATTTTTAACTTTCCAACAAAATTATTTTGATAATCTAGCAATCAGTTTGACTTTCCAATAAAATTATTTTGATTGTATAACAAAAATTATTTTCAGACCTGAATCCAGCAAAATCGTTCTTTCCGTGTATTTAATTTTCTGCGCTTACGTAAAAATATTTCAAAATTTTCGAAGCGAATTAAACCAGTGCAAACACAATCCCTGTACAGTCTAATTGGAAATTAACTTATGAGATAGTGGGGCGTAAAATGTTAGATGACAAAGTGTTAGAAATTGAAAGAAAAGTCGATTAATTTAGACACGAAGTACATTATTACGGGAACGGGAATGCTGTGCGAAGCACAGCAAATTGTATGTCGGTACCAGATGCAAAACAGTTGATTGGTTTCGTGCTGCAGCAGTGCGAGTGGCGTCTTCGATCGCAAGGTGTGAGAAATAGCGAGATGAAAAAGACGATTCTATTTCAGAACATTGACGAAAGAAAGAGGTACAGAGAGAAGCGGAAAATGCCAAAAGTACATATCAGTTTTCGACTGTGCACGAAAAATATTTCTACGTTAGATGCTAGTTTGGAACAAACATTTGGAGTTTCGATTCTTTTTTTATTTACTATCGATTGTTATTTAATCCTTTATTTTCGTTGATATTTCGAGATGATACTATTGCTAACGAATAATAGAGTATAATTAATTGTTTTTCAATGTGTGCTGCTTGCCTTAAATTAGAATTGCCTAAAATAATCGCTGGCGCAGGAAACGATAAGTTTATTTAATTGACGCTCTTACACGGACGTTCATAATATGGATGCTAGCGGCTTCGCTTTTACGGTAATCAATAGACCGTTTTCTCCGTGCTAAAGCTTTTACACGCGGTTTAAAGTCGCCTCGTAATTAAACCTGAATTTGCAATGAGCGTAAAAGCGAACTATGTGGGGAAAATTAGAATTTCCGTATTAACTTTCCACGGGTATTTTGATCCTTTGGGAAATCCTTCTCAATTTGGTGGACAATAACAACTGTAAGCATAAAATCAAACTGATACTTCCTATTCATACGAGAGATATCAAAGAAGTTGTTTATTCCTCAAGAGCATTTACTTTTTACAAGTGAAAGATTATAGCGAATACGATGAAGATAAAAAAAACTTTTATGGCTGAGTTATTGATACGCTATCAGGGCAGCATAATGGCTTTTGCTTTAAAATACAAAACAAATGGTCGTTTTATTGTAAAAAATCAAAAGACTATTCATTCGAGATTGCTCTCTTATGCCTCATGCTTTTATTTTTTGCCCCCATTTTTTACTTCATGCTTTTACCATGCAGGATATACTTTCTCTCTTTATCTCTCTCTTTCTCCCTCGTATCATGCTTTTACTTCAAAATAATTACTTCCTTTCCCATCTTTCGCAAAGTGCATTTGCTTCACTTTTTTCCCCTACATCGCAGAAAAAAGAAAATCTGCAGCGTACACAAATCATGTGTGTACAAATCGATGTTTCGAGTATTAAAAAATTTGATATTTTATGCTAAATTTTTAAATTATATTTTGAGAGCGTAAAGAAGCATTATTTTAAAGCCGATTAACAGTAAGTTTACGCGGTTCTAAAGCATAAGTTAAAATTTAATAAGCATCAAAAGAACGTTTGAAAACGAATCTCTTTTTATTGTCATATGAATAACGGTCTTCTCGTTTGCCAATTATTTATACTTAATTCAAAGATTACCTCTTTCATAAAAAATAAAAGTTAATTCATAAATGGTAGTTAATAAATGCTTAATTCGAAGAAGATGCTTTTAGCGCGAGATAATCTCGTATAAATCAATTTTACGTTGATAGGACAAGCTATCGAAAGAAGGTTATTATACGGGTAACGCAGTAATTTTTTTCTCGACGATAAATCTTATACGGCGCGTCGCAAGTTTCGAAGGAAGGGAGTTCCCCCCCCCCCTTGTCGTGACACTTCGAAGCGCGGGGGCACTTTGCACGTCGCATCGATTGCGCCGGCTCGAAGGATCCTTATGCATCGTATATGCATGCGCACGTTCGAACTTCTCGCCCACAAGGCGAGAGCCCACGCAAGGGAGCAATATCGTATTTCGAAATCCCTATTTAGCATAAATATGTGGCGGCGGCGGCGCGCGGCAGCCGCGAAAGCTCCGCGGCGGAAGTCGCGAGGGCGAGAAAAAAGTCGCAAAGAAATATATAGAGGTACGAGGACACACGTGTGGAAATACGGAGGCTAAAGTCGGCGGAAATGTGTGGGAGGGATCCCGCGTTTAACACATCTCAGAATACGCAAATTCTCGCAGGTGCGATCAATCGCGATACGTCCAATCGGCAATATTGTACGGTAGGATAAAAAAAAAAGAAAAATTGTTGACACAAATTACGATATATATATATATATATATATATATATATATATATATATATACATAAATATAATATAGACGATTTTTGCTCGTGTACGAAATTACGTGTTTGATTTTTCATATATTGCTTTCTGTTATTTTTTTCAATATTTGTCGACAATTCGGAATGGCTTTTAATCTTTAGCATCGCTTTTAGTCTTCAAAATATTCCTTGAAAAGCACTCATGCACAACGTGTTAAAAATCTTATCAAACTTTTCAGCGTATCTTTAATCACTCCTTAATTACAGAAATGTAATACTGAAACTGCCAAATAATAATTTATTTTAAATATTAAAGCACATTTTGTTAGTGCTTTTAATACAAAACAAGTAATTATTTGACACCTTCAGTATTAAATTTCTGTAAAGGGACCTCCGTAACAGGCTCTCTCGTAAAAAGGTAAACAGTTACAGCCGAATGTGCGCGCGTGGAAAGATAAGCAAACAACGATAGATGCGAATGTCGATCTTAATTATCTCGTGGCAAAGTTACGGCGTCCTCGAAATTGGAAAACAAAAATATTCGGCTGGAGTCGAGTGTACGCGTGTACACTCGGCGGGAAAGTGTGGAGTACCAGGCGAGAGAGAGAGAGAGAGAGAGAGAGAGAGAGAGAGAGAGAGAGAGAGAGCGG